GAATTTTTCGATCTTAACTTTCCCATCTTCAGCCATAGCTCTGGTACCAGTTTGTTGGGAATATACCAAACAAGTTAAGCACTTCGAACAAAACGATTAACGATTTCGGTAACACTCGCGGAATAAAAACTACTGAAAAATTGCAAACGAAATTGAACACGATATTTAACGTGGTTCGGTCTAATCTGACCTACATCCACGGGCGAACGAGATAGATGAGATTTTATTATCACCAAAGAAAATTACAATCATACAAGGCTAAAAACTGCACTTGTAATCTGATCGCTCACTGTAAGGTATCACTCGTATTTTAACTGTCGAAAATAAAATACAACCTCACTATTTCTTTTATGTGTATATATGATCGTTGTGTTGTGCTCTCTGCTATTTCTACTTACAATATATATATATATATATATATATATATATATATATATATATATATATATATATATATATATATATATATATATATATATATATATGTTGTGAGCCGTAACAATAATTCACTCTAATGTGAAAGTGAATACCCACCATTTGACATTTGTAAATTGTCTGCAAAAGAAGAAAATAGCCTCCTTGAAAATATACGTAGCTTGAAATAATTCTTATGCATTTAATGTTGTTTTTCTAAGCCGAAACAAATTTCCTTTTTCACATGAGAGTAGGTGATAGTGAGGTTTACCCAACAATTCAATTCAATTGTTAATTGCCAAGTTACATTTATGGCCCTTTAGCTCTTAAGAACTTGTCAATATGTTCATGACTCCATAAATCTTAACAAAAAGTATTTGTACGGATACAAACTCTTCTTATACCAATACTACATTCTACATTCTGTGTCCTCATCAACAAATAAAATCCAACCCCAAGAACTTGCTACTTTCTGGAACGCTTTATGAGACCAAGCCACAAGTGGTAAACCTTGAATTTCAATCCATATCAACCGATCATGAATGACAAAGGAATCATCAACTTGTTTAAAAGCTTTGAAAATCCTCTTGAAAGGTTTATGTTCTTGAAACTTTTGGCATCTTTTTCTTGAAGGGAATTCAATCCAAACCCAGAACCCACCAATATAATTAATTTCAATCCCTTGATAACCTTCCTCCTTACAAATTGCATGAAGATTGGCAATGGATACGGCCTCTCTAACTTCTGCTAAGACCACATAACTTGAATCTGGAATCTTAATCAGGTCCTCATCAGATAACATAATGCATTTTTTCACACCATTATAGACATCCCGTTCTGATTTATGATGTTTACCAGACACAATATTTGCATAAGACAATCCCCCCTTTGACTTGCTACCCCATGTATCCATCGTATTCATAGGAATTGCAGTCGGCTTACTTACCTGCATAGGTTTCCCGACTTCTTTCTTTCCAAAACGTGTAATAGAAGCAAAGAGGTGATAATTCCCCAACCAGACCTCACACAAGCGATTTGCCAATTCCTGAACATCTAAAACTTTCAAGAAACGAACAAATCCAAACCGGCGCCCCAATTTTGATAATTTCCGAGCAATGTAGATATCTGCAACAACCCCAAACTCAGCACACAGCTTACGTAAATCCTGAATTTCCATAGAAGGAGGGAAATTGGTAATGTAATAGGACACAACAATGTGATCAACTGAATTTCGATCATGGCGTTGCAGATTTTCCTTCATCGTTTGTTTTCCTGTGTTCTGTGTTCTGATCAAGATTAACTGATTTCCCAAATCTCCACTCCCATTTATCTTCAACCATTGCAAACGATGACAAAATATATTGAAGTATAGATCGTAAAGATAGCTGCGACGTCAGCGTCTGATCCCGTCGTAAGAACTCCGAAATCGCCGGACGTACGAACGTAGGGTTTTCCGTATACATGCCACCCATTTGTCCATATCTATCAAAGGGATAAACATAAGAAACTAGCACAACCCACGAATTCATAAAAACATGTTTTCATACATTTGCAAATGAAGATGGGTATCCTGGCACAAGTTTATAATATACACTACAGTTACAAGATTATATGTATTTATATTTTACAATTTCTTTTAACAACTAATTCACACACCCAATAATTAATCTAATAATCTATTCCTAAGCATTATGCATTTTGAAATTCAAATATATGTACTTTTTGATCAAGAGTAACGAACATTTCATTGTTTCAGCTTACTGCACATATTGTGGTTATATATATTGAATATATTTAATTTTTTTTTTTTCATTTGGTAAAGAAGCTTGAAAGAAAAATATATCAGTTTTATACAAATATTAAATAGTTTTGCTAGAGATGTTTGTGAAATAAGTTAAATGGTAGTATTATTTTATGAAAGAAAAATGTGATGATTAATTATTTATGTTTCAAATTTATATCGAAATAAAAATGTACGTAGAACTTAGAAGTGCAAATCCCATAATGTATCCTTTGTTGATGTGTTCATGGTTAATGTAGCTTGGTTGAATTAAAAAGAAATGAAACATGATTGTTGATTTCTGTTTCTTTTGCTTGTATTCAGGAAAGAAAAAGTAGATGTTAAATCATTTTCAATCTTCAAAGTTTATCTGGATATTAAATCTTAACACAAAGGCACCAGTGGTCTAGTACTAGAATAGTACCCTGCCACGGTACAGACTCGGGTTCGATTCCCGGCTGGTGCATTTTAAAGAACTGTGATGTTACATGCTTTCTTGGTGGAGGGTCCATCAACTTATCTGATCTTCAAGTGAAGACATTGGCCTTACTGAGCTCTCTTTTTTCTTTTTCTTTTTTGGCTGGAAATGGAACAATTTTCTAGGCAAAGATGAACTTATTACACTCATTTAATACTAAAGATTACCCTTAAGAAATTGTCCAGTGGCCAGCTTCGTAAAGTTGTTATTTATTGAACCCATTTAATTACAGCACCATTTAGGACTACATGCTGACCATATAACAATCCCATTGACTGTTGGATATGCATGATCTTCTCTCCTCATATGCCTTTTGATACACTCTAGCAGTGAAGCATGACCATAAAAATTCTTGCATTCTGTATAACTTAAGTTTAACAAAGTCGTCACCAAGCCACTTTAATTTGACAAGTTCATGTATTTAGATTTGTATCCATGACACTATTTTTATGATATTGATGGTTACATATTTTAACCAAGCGACCATGAGGTATGAAGCATTACAGGTGTTCTGTCTGCTTGCTTGGGAGGGCGAAGAACTAGAGAAGTATTATCTTATAAATCTATGCCTTTTAAAACCAGATGCATCAGTTTGGGGTGTGCTTCTAGGTGTGTGTAGGATTTATGGGGATACCGATTTGGGTAAGGTCGTTTCAGATAAATTATTGGAAGGGGAAAATGGGTATATTTACTCTGATTTAATGACAAAAATTAAGATTCTTGGCTATTATAGTTTTATGTTGCAAGATGTTGAAGAGGATGAAAAAGATTGTTTCCTTATGAGTCATAGTCAGAGATTGACGATTGCATATCAGCATATGGGATTATTAGTGAGCCACCTAAGACGGTCATAAGAATTTGTGGGTGTGTGGGGATTGTTATAATGCTACTAAGTTTATAGCGAAAGGGAGATTGTTGTTAGAGATTCTAATACATCGGTTTCATAATTTTAAAGATGGTGTTTATTCTTGTGGTGATTATTGGTAATTTGAGTGTTGATTGGCTTCTTGTGTTGTCGGTACAGAGTTGTGTAATTTGAGTGTTGTTTGGCTTCTTGTGGTGATTATGTTTATGTGAGCCACCTAACGGGTCACTATGTAGTTGAAGAGACATTAAAGATCATTAATAGTACTTGTTACTTAAAGTTGAAATCATAAGGTGTAACATGAAAGATTGGTTGTAATGATTGTGAACTTATTATGATTAATTTTGTTTATGGTCAAATAAACCGTACATGTGCATATTGGATTCTTCAATTTTTTTTTTCTCTCTCCTCAAAGTTTTTTTTTCCATTCTAAAATGTGTTTGTTGTTTGATTTGAATTATGCCAAATAAACAATCAACTTTTTTTTGGCATCCAAAAGGGAGAAATTGGTATTGCTCTATTTAGACTTGATAATTAATGATGGGAATTTTCTGTAATTTGGTTGTTTTGGGTGATAGCTTTCATTGTTGATGATGTCAAACACAAAGCACTAGTGGTCTAGTGATACATTAGTACCCTGCCAGTGAGTGGCAAATCTAAAACCAAAAATCGTGTGGTTCATTATGTAAGTGAAACCGAAAAAAATGAGAGAGCAAAAAATACTACTAACGGGTTGGGTTGTATGTCTTAAAATATTTAAACAAATTTCAGTAGTTATAATAAAATTCTTAAAATTGAGTCGGGCGACGTCTTATATATTGAGATATACTCATAACTATATTGTTATCAATACATTCTAAAGCACTTTTTTCAATATACGACAGTAAACTACCACTCAAAAACTAATTACCCATTTGTTGCGTATATAAGTCTTTATCAACTTCATTGTTGAAAATGCGAATTCCACACTTGTTACAACGGGTAAAATCAATGTAAATTTTAAAAGAAGATACATCGTAGATAATATTACATGCTTCTTTTCTTCAACTTCGGAGTTTTGGGGGTTTTGACTGGATGCGATGCGGCGGTGGAGACCCATCGCGACGTGACCACATCATTTAAGTGGCAGCATGGTCTGGACACAACGGTGGAAACCCTAAATCTCAGGTTGTGGGCCATAAGTGTAATAAATTCTAGGGTTTGATGATTCTCTTAGCCTCCACCCATTTAGAAGAGAAAGCCCTAACCCTAAGTGCCTTGTGTGTGTGTGTGTTCTTGGTGTTTCAAGCCTTAGTGTGCTCTTCCAAGAATAATAAGGTGATATTGTTGCTTGGAGAGTGGTTTTTTACTTTAGATCTTGCATCTCTTGCACCCTCTCGAGCATGGGAATGTATAAAGCTCCCATCTTTATTGTTTATAGTTTTTATTTCATGCTTCGAGGTCCCTTTTGGTCCTTTAGAAGAATGTTCTTAGAGTTTTGGGCAACTTCAGGCTTGGTTTGGGTTCATTTCTGGACTTGTTTTGAGGGAAAAGAGGTGTGCATTGGTTCCTTTGGAACCATGCACAAGTAATCGCCCTAACAACCACCTAGAGGAGTTAGGGTTTAAGTTTTAGACTTGGTTTGGTTGTGTAATGGATAAAGTTAGGAACTTTATCCATTAAGTCCCTTAGAAACATTAGATCTGAGGTTTTAGGCTCTGGATGTTAAGGGATAAGAGTTTAATGAATTAAGCTGTTTTGGACGTTAACCACGACACGGTGGGTGGTAGGTCGCGACGCGGGTCAAGAGATTTAATCGTGACTATTTTGTCTTTTAGCAACCACCATGCGACCAAGGAGCTAGTCGCGACGGTAAATGGAGGTTGACCGTTGACTTTTAACCAATTTGACTTTTTGTCAAACTTGGAGGTTTTAAGCTTTAGACTGAGTTGTAAACTCTGATTGGTTTATGTGATTCTTGTTGTAGCTGTTGCTTCGAGCCTTAGAGTATGGAATGGAAAAGAAAAGAAAATGAAAAATCTGAAAGTGAAATAATGATTTAGACGGCCAAACAACTTCCACAGTACAAAATGGTTCAATTGAAAGTTTTCTTTTATATGTGGTTTTAATTTTGGGCCTATCCAATATACCTCAAGAATAAGAAAATGCATATAAGTAAATATGCCATTTTCGAGTTGAGATTTCTGATTTTAATATTACTCGTTTAATTTTCGTGTTCTATAATGTCAATCTCTTTAATTAAGCAAATTCAAATCTCTTAAGTGGTCTTTTGTGTTTTTGGCAAAAATGTCTTTTTGACCTTTTATGTATGTGAACATAAAGACATTTGATGAAAAATTGTTTGTTTTTTAGAAGACTAGACATAAAAATGTCTTTTCGACATCTTTTTCCATAAAAAAATAGATTATGATTTTGGACGACATTTTTTAAGTTTTAACAATAATGTGATATTTCTGTTTCCACCACCATTGTCGCCGTCACCGCTGCTGCCACCACCGTCGCCACTATCGTACCTCTAACAACGTTGTCGTCGTTGCCGACGTCGCTGTCACCATCCCACCGCCGTAATTACCTTTGCCACCTCTTTCGTCATCACCATTGCCTCCACTTCCGCCACCATTACACCCACCCTCACGTTTGCCACCTTCACTGCCTCCGTCACCTTGCCACCACATCCGACAATTCCTCCGCCACCACCACTACTTCCGAATCTGCCACCTCAACCACTATCTCTCCGCCACCATTTCACCAACAACACCAACACCGATACCAATGATTTTTTTATGAAGACTTTAAAAAACAATTATTTATGAAGACTTTAAAAAACAATTATTTATGAAGACTAAAGACATTAAATTTTGTTTATCGAGTTCTTATTGGGTTAAGACTTAAGATGGTAAGTCTCATCTAGACTAAGCACGTTTTTCAGTTATTAATTGTTTCCTTTTTCTTTCCAAAATTCATTATTTTTGTTGACGAAAAAGAAATGAAACAAAAAACAAATTCAGTAATATAGAAGCCCCCTCCCGGCAGGAAGCAATAAACGAGCAAGAACCTTTCTTTCTTCTTTCTCGTCCATCTGGTTAATTCTGATTATTAGGGCTTCCAATTTTTCTCCTCAGGTAACTTTATTTGCTCTTATATGCCCTAATTTGACATCCGCAGGTTTGTGCATCTCACTATGATCAAAAATTGCACAATATGTTCTTCTTTAACCTAGTTTGGATTTCACTTATTACGCTGTAATTTTGACGAAGATCACTGTTACCTTTTTGTGACATTCAAAATATGTCATGAATGATTGCCTGAATTCATATATGATTTCAATTAAGCAAGTTTTTATCCATGGTGATTACTAGATGAAGGTCTCTTTTGTTTTGATTATTGTTTTTGTATCCCTAGTGATAATTATTCTACTTTTAGTTTGTGTTATAGGAGTCTGCGGCCATGGATGAAAAGTTAGAAGATCGAGCCGCTTTGCTTTCTCGCATTGAAGTATTGGAGCGAGGTTTGTGCTCTGTTTTTTTTTTTCGTTATTTTAGAACATCATTCACAAGATCTCAAATCAAATACAAACTGATTTGAATTTCTACTTGTTATTAACTTCTTTCTTGTAATTTTTGCTTTGTAGAACGAAATGAACTACGTAGTGATATTGAACAAATGTGTATGCAACATGCTGGACCTAGTTATGCTGCTGTTGCTACAAGAATGCATTTTCAAAGGTACATCATTATACGAAAACTATGAACACATTTCCCCATTGTAACAATCTTTAATTGTGATATTAATACTCAATTAGGACAGCTGGTCTGGAGCAGGAAATAGATGATTTGAAGAAAAAGTTAACTTCTTGTCTTCGAGAGAATGTAAATCTCCAAGAAGAGCTTTCACAGTCTTACCTTATCAAAGTAAGGTCAATTCTGTCATTTTACTTTTCTTATTTCACATCCATCACTACTATAATGTTATTTCTTTCTACAGAACCAGTTAGCTGATCTTCATGCCTCAGAGCTTAAGAAGGTCAGTGTATATTAATGCTTGTTGGAATACATATCAACTTGTTTCTAATGAGGTTAATTTCGTCTTGTTAACCTCTTCAGAGCTTAGAAGCAGAGAAGCAGATTAAATTTTTCCAAGGCTGTGTTGGTGCTGCATTCTCTGAACGTGATAATGCAATAATGGAGGTCTAGTTTCTTGATTCTATCTATTAATTACATAAATTGTTATTCTATAAATCCTATAATTTGAATCGTGTATATGGTTCTGAATTCTGATAGGCTGAAATAGCCAAAGAAAAAGAGGAACTTGCAACACAACAATTGGGAATTATCCAGCAAAAGTAAGAACTTTATATTTATACTTCAAAAAGGCATTATCTTTTATTCATTTCTGGTATATCTGTTAAAGTTTTTATATAAACCAGGATAGAAGAACTCACCTCAATTGTTCTTGAAGAAAAGAAATTTTCAGCTACCCTTCAGACTGATCTAGAAAATCAAAAGAAGGAAAATGAAATATTCAAACAGGTGATTAATTTACATTGGCTACATTATCTATAAATAGTTAAATACACATGTTCAATGAAAAAGACACCTAAAGATTAATATTTTACATGTTATAGGTGATCAATAAGTTCTATGACATCAGACAACATTCTTTAAATGAATACAATGATGTCAATTTAGAAGAAAAGTGTATCACTTTACTGAATGATTCAGAAGACATGTGGAGTTTCAATAGGCATGATGAGGAAACATCAACCACTAAATACATTGTAAGTTATAGAAAACTTGTAATGGCAATTTAGTAATTTAATCTTTCATTATTTTTGACTTTTCATTTAGACAGACTGCATTAGAGGAAGAAGTGGAGGCATTGAGAAAATCTGTAATCAATCTTCGAAGCAAGTTACAAATGGTAAAACATTTTATTCAAATTGTACAAATTGTAAAAGGGTATTACTGTCCTTTTACTTAACTTGTACTTTTTTATTTTTTTGGGAATCAGGGATTGGAGATTGAGAAACATTTGAAGAAAGTTGTTCGTGATTTAAAAAACAAGAAAGTGAGATCTTTCTATTGATAAACTATAACTAAACTTATGATGTTTAAATTCTTGATAAATTATAATTTTGTTTTTGTTTTTATTTATTTATTTGAATACAGATATTTTTGGAAGAAAAGATGAAGAGGGACATATCTGTCTTACGTGGCTTATATTCTCAACACAGGGTTGATATTGTAAATTTGCTTCAAGAGGAATTTTCTCAGTTTAAATCAGTTATTGATTTTATTAAAGAAAATATGGGACAAATTAATATAAATGAAGAACTTAAACATTTATCTCCTCAAGAAAATGATTGTCGTGATGTACATATAAGCCCTGATATTGGTTCAGATACTATTACAAAGGTATATCATATTTATTTATTTTTTTAATGTAATAAAAGATAAAATATAAAATTCTATTTTACATTTTTGTAGGAAAATGTTTCTGAATCACAAAAAAGTTGTAGTTCTGAATTAGGGGAAGCTTCTGAACCACTTGCTCAAGCATTACAAGAGAAGGTTTATGTTTATATATAATTATATAAAAAAGATCATATAAAAAATAAAATTTTTTGTGGGGTTTTCAGTTTTTATTAAAATGGTTAAAACTTTATTCAGGTTTCAGCATTGTTGCTTCTATCACAACAAGAAGAGAGATATTTATTAGAAAGCAATGTAAAAGCAGCTCTTGAAAGTAAAATGTTGGAGCTACAAAGAAATTTGAATCAAGTAAAATTTCATTATTTAGTTCAATAATTTGTTTATAATATTATTAGTTTCGTATTATATTTATGTGTACAATATTTTAATAGGTGACAAATGAAAAAGTGGTTGCTCTTATGGAATTAGCACAATTAAAGCAAGAATATCATTTACTACAAGAGTATGTTTAATTGTTTATTTTTGTCTTTAAACAATAATTTTATTCAACATTAAAAAAAGAAAAAAATTTATGATTTTAGAGTTTATGACATGACTATAGGAAACTGAATGATGATAAGCTTGTAATTGATAAAGAAGAGAAAAGCATGATTCAAGATAAAGATGGAAGATTAAAAAGTTTATTAAAAAAGACATATTTTAGTCAATGGATTAATCCTCAACAAGATATCAGCAAGAAAAGTTGTAATGCTACCATGGATTTTGCAAGGTTTGTGGATTTTCTTTCTTTCATGTATTTATATTTATTTTTTATTGATTATATATTTATTATTGTATGTTATGTAGAATGAAGGTTGAATATATATCACTCAAGGAGAGCTTGGAAAGCATGGAGCATTTAACTAATTCAATTCGTAGACTTCGTTTGTCCCTCATTAAGGTTTAATCATTTTATATTATATAAATTTTATTATTTTTATCTATCAAGTTAAGTAAAAGGTAAAACACAAGAAACAAAGAATATTTTGGATATTTTATGAATAATAAATTGTTGTGAAACTTTTTTAGGTTAAAGAATCGGATACGGTTTCAGACATTATTGAAAATGTTGAGACAGAGGCAAAGCTTTTAAAGACGGCTCTTGGGAGTTGTGTTCCTGTAAGTTGGTCAGCAGCTGAGTTGGATACGAGTCAAGAAAAAGTTGATGGTGTGTCAGCAGCTGGTTTTGAGATGGTGGAGTTGCTTATTTTAGCCACACATCTGTTAAAAGAAAAGACTGGCTGTCTTGAAACAGATAGACAGACAGACAGACAGATAGATAATAAATTGGTTTACGTGGTTTGATGGTAAATAGTTTGTATAGACAGATTGTTTGTTTTATGTTTATATTGTTTTTGTGTGTTGTGATTATTTACTTGTTTATTTAGTAGCTGTAATCCTATAGGTAGGGCTATAGAGAATGAAATAAACCAAAAAACCATAAAAAAATCTCCAAATCCTATAAGCATTAACAGTAGTATATGTTGGTTATATATGCAACTTGTATGTTATTTGGTAGCAAATTCTTTAATTTATACAAAGTAAATGTGAAAATATAATGAATTATTGAAATTAATGCTTATATATTGTAACTCAGAAACAAATATGAACATGTTACAATATTTTCCTTATAAGGACACATGGTTAAATAACAATATCTTCAAAGGTTTAGGAATAAATAGTTATCGGACGATGGCAACTCGCATGAAAGATTAGTCTCTCTGACACACTTCACTCAAGTTGCATTGAACCACGAACTATATAATTTTTAGACCATTTCTTCTTGTTTCGATCGAAACCCACATGACAATTTACAAGTTGGTTTTTTGGCCTTTGTGTCAAAAAATAAAAAAAAACTTAAAATCGTGGGCCAAATCATAGGTAAGAACCGACGTGTAATGTTCTTTTTAGGATAAATCTGTCATTAAAACTAAGTTTCAACTGCTCGTGATGCACTTGTTCCAGACCAAATGTTACAAGTCATTGGCCTGTAACTTCCTCATGATCGTCTTCTTTACCTGATGATATCTCTTGGTTTGATAACAACTAAGTTGAGAAAAACATGATTTCACAAACTACACATTTTACACCAAAATTATATGTGCACTCTGGAAAACAATTATATGACATTACACACCGATATATTGCTTTCCATGACATCCTGGAAATGTAAAAGTTGAAACATGTTGTGCATTTAAAGTTATATAAAGTTCACTGTTAAATAGGTCAATAAACAGGTTCAAATGCGAATTTTTTGGCCCGTTCGAAACTGCAAACTACCTTTATCAGAACTACATGCCCAAAACTCATAATGGAATTTAGAAAATCGATAGAAACAATCTTCAAAATTTCTTTTTGCCAAAAAATTAGTTTTTTTGAGAATCACAATGGAGCTTGAAAATGTCCTTTTTTCGAACTCCATGGTCATTTAGGCTTTTTCCAATACAAAAGATCATTTTGTGACACAAACAGTTTTATAATTTAATTAGTTTTAATATATATATATATATATATATATAATATATATATATATATATATATATATATATATAGAAAATCATCTAAAAATGCTAGTGCTTTGTAGGCGTACTGAACTTGGTCAAAGCCCATGATTGGTTTTTGGACTGTCGCCTACAAAATTTGGAATGGGCTTGGGTCATGCTCAACATCTAATTAGGCTCGGTTTTTTGCCTACCTCTATCTATTATGGAGGGAAACAAACCAAACTATGAAGTGACTAAAGTGAAAGACATTTTAATTCGCTTGCTAATTGCTAAGTTTACAATGTTCTTGTCTTTGTTGGTTCCAAATGTAAAACTATTTAAAAAAGTAATTTGGCTGATAAATAATACACCGTGGGGTTATTATTATTATCTTTTAAACAAAAATCTTATTTCATCAACTGTACAAAATACAGAACACCAGGTGATATACATGAATATGCATATGAGAAAACTATAATCCATATTACTCTATAAGTATTTGAATTTTAATTAACTAGAAATGTTAAACATTTACGACTAATAATAACTGAGAATTTAGAAGCAAATTGGAATCTTACTAATGCTATGTTTGACGTAATAACTTTTAGCTGAAAAATTAGCTGGTAGCTGAGAAACTAATTGATAAAAAATCAAGTTTGATAAAACTAGTTGATAAGTTAACTGAAAGATATAAAATAATATAAAAGAATATTTAGAAAAATATGTTTCTTTTATAATTAATTAAGGGTATATTAAGAAACTTAAAAAAAAAAAATCATGAAAAACTAGCTTATAAACTACAGTATTTTTAGACTTGTCAAAACTTAAAAAATAAAAAATAAGCCCTTAAATACCTTTATATTATAATGGTATCTTTCATCTAAACGTAAACATGTTTTTCAGTTTTTAATTGTTTTTTTTTTCTAAAGTTCATTATTTTGTCGACGAAAAAGAAATGAAACAAAAAGCAAATTCAGTAATATAGAAGCCCCCTCCCACCAGGAAGCAATAAACGAACAAGAACCTTTCTTTCTTCCTTCTCGTTCATCTGTTTAATTCTGTTATTAGAGCTTCTATTTTTTCTCCCCAGGTAACTTTATTTGCTCTTATATGCCCTAATTTTACATCCACAGGGTTTTGATTCTCACCATGTTCAAAAATTGCACAATATGTTCTTGTTTAACCTAGTTTAAATTTCACTGATTACGCTGTAATTTTGATGGAGATCACTGTTACTTTTTGTGACATTCAGAATATGACGTGAATGCTTGCCTGAAATATTTTGTAGGCCTTTCAAGTTTTAATTAAAAGGGTTCAAAGACAGCGCAAAAATGGAGGAATAAAATTTAATTGCTAAAATCATCATGTGGAACACCCTAAAAGAGAGATATTTGTTAGAGAGCAACGAAAAAGCAGCTCTTGAAAGTGAAATGGAGACGCTACAAAGAAATTTAACTCGAGTAAATTTCATGTTGTTCATTCCCTTTTTTTAGTTCAATAATTTGTTATAATATTATTAGTTTCATATTATTTTATGTGTACAATATTTGAATAGGTAACAAATGAAAAGGTGGTTGCTCTTATGGAATTGGCACAATTGAAGCAGGAATACCATCTACTACAAGAGTATGTTTAATTCTTTATTTCCGTCTTTAATCAATAATTTTCATCCAACATTTTTTTTATATTTATGATTTTAGAGTTTGTGACATGACTATAGGAAACTCAATGAGGATAAGCTTGTAATTGATAAAGAAGAGAAAAACATGATTCATGATAAAGATGGAAGATTAAAAAGTTTGTTAAAAAAGACATACTTTAGCGAGTGCTTTTATCCTCAACAAGATTATGCACAAAATATCAGCAAGAACAGTTCTAGTGCTACCACGGATTTTGCAAAGTTTGTGGATTTTCTTGTTTTTAATTTTTCATGTATTTATATTCTTTTATTGATTATATATTTAGATAATATGTTATGCAGAATGAAGGTTGAATATATATCACACATGGAGAGCTTGAAAAGCATGGAACATTTAGCTAGTACAGTTCGTAGACTTCGTTTGTCACTCATTAAGGTAATCATTTCATTTATATTAATATATAGTTTATTTATATGCTCATAATTATATAAATTATATTTATTTTTTCTTTCAAGTTAAGTAAGGTAAAATGCAAGAAACAAGAATATTCTTTCATTTATTTGTTAATTATAAGCTTATAGCATCCAAGTTTGTTTCCTCCTGTTACAACATTGTACTCTAAAAAAAAGCCCTAGGAGTGTTAATTCAAATACAAATATAATTTGATAATTTTTTGTTTTAAATTACAAAGTCCTAACAAGTTTATTATTGTTAGGGGTGTGTATGGGACGGTTTGGTTCGGTTATTGGTCAAAACCGAACCATAACCATTACAATTGGTTAATGTATTTCGATAACCATTGGATAGCGGTTAATATTGGTTTTTGGTTAATGGTTTTAGTTGGTTAATGGTTAATATCGGTTAACCATAATGGTCCAAGATGACATAAAAATAAAAATAGTTTTTTATAAAAAATGAAAAACATAAAGTCCATTGTTATAAAAAGTGAATGATAGCATATATATAATTGTATTGATAGAATATTACTTATCATATCTAATTCTAGATAATTTCCCTTCAAATTTTCAAGTCTTAATATAATTACATATAATATACTCACAACGTCCTATATTTATTGTCCACTTTTGATTTTTGAAATCTTTGTTCTTCAACTTTGACCTTAAATATTTTTATTTGTGTTATAAATTACTTGATTAAATTATAACAATGAAAAAACATTTAAAACACAATCCATTCATATATTTTGCCTAAAGTATTATATATCAATAACAAAAATATTTAAGGTCAAATTTGAAGATTAAAAACTTTAAAAAGTCACAAGTGGACAGTAAATGTAGAACGGATGAATATATAATATTATATTATATCAAGAATATTTATTAATATTATTGGTTTGGTTCGGTTAATAGTGGTTCGATTTTAGATGAAAACCATAACCGAACCATATGTATTCGGTTAATCAAAATTAAAAACTGCATCATATCTTTTAGTAACGGTTCGGTTAAAATGGTTCGGTTATATTGTTTAATTTGGTTATGGTTCGGTTTTTTGGTTAATATGCTCACCCTAATTATTGTTATCAACTTATAAAAAATATTTTAACCTTATAAGTTGATAACAATAAAAAAAATTCACACTTGGGATGTAAGTGTAGTCATAATCTTCGATTAACGTTTTATAAATAGACAATTACAATATTCAATTTAGATTGAAAAAGAAGAAGAAGAAGAAGAAGTGTACGCTTAAAAGATTAAATATTGGAATATTTGATAATTGATCAATAATAAATTGATGTGAAACTTGTTAGGTTAAAGAATCTGTTTCAGTATCAAATACAGTTTCAGACATTATTGAAAATGTTGAGACAGAGGCAAAGCTTTTAAAGACGGCTTGTGTTCCTGTAAGTTGGTCAGATGAGTTGGATACAAGTGAGGGGAAAGTTGATGTCGTGTCAGCAGCTGGTTTTGAGATGGTGGAGTTGCTTATTTTAGCCACACAACTATTAAAAAGCTCGATGTCTTGAAACGGACAGATAGATAGATAGATAATAAATTGGTTTGTGGTTTGATGGTGAATAGTTTGTATAGACATATCCTTTGGTCCATGTTTATATTTTTTTTGTGTGCTAATAACTTAAGATTATTTACTAAATTTTTTTAGCAGCTGTAATCCTATAAGTAGTGCTATGGAGTATGGAGTATGATAGAAGAAACATAAAGATCACAAGTTTGAAAAAAATATGTACTACGTTTTCGTTAATTTCACTATTATATATGCTATTAGAAAAGTGCAATTGACCTATTTTGGGACATACTTAAAGAACGAGGTGGAAAATCATTGGGAGAATATGTTCGAAAATGCAGGAGAATATGTTCGAAATTGTAGAACAAGTTCAAAACTCTAAGAAGATTTAGGATGGTTTGACTCATGTGTGTTTATCAAAATTTCCAGATTTTTTTTAAACCGACCATCAAACCAAAAGGAAAAAAGACAGACTGATATGTTTGCTACATCAACAATGAGAGTTGAAATTGAGGTGCTAATCAGATATATATAGAAAAAGGTCCTTGTTATTTGTTATTCATTGACATAATGATCAACCCTTCCTAATGTCCAGATCCTGAAGACAAATTGGGACTAACCCACTTGGCAAACAAGATGTCTAATAAGATGTTTCTGATAAAAATGTATTGAGTTCAATTTTAAGCATATACTAACTCGCCGTTAAAAAAATCTCCAGATCCTGAAGACGTTCCAAATAACCCCAAATGCTTATTTGTCTCTTGGTTTGGTTTGATGATAACTTAGGTGAAATCTAATTGTGAGTTCTTATCGACCGAAGAGGTAAATGTCATTCCTAGTTCTTTTGGACAACGTGGTAGATCTTTAGGAAATTTGTTGGAAGTTATTTATATTATTTAATCAATTTATGAGACATTTAAATTCAATAGTATATGTTGGTTATAAGTAATTGGTGTGTTACTTTGTAACAAATTCTTTAATTTATAAAAAATAGTTGTAAAAATATTAGAAATATTTCCCAAAACATAATGAATTATTGAAATTAATGCATACATATTATAAGTCGAACCGAATATATACATGTTACAATAATTCCCTAATGAGTTTAGATGTTGGTTTAGTAACAATAGCTTCAAAGATTTAGGAATAAATACTTACTTCTTGGACAATGGCAACTCGAATGAAAGATTAGTGGCCGACACATACATTGAACCAAGAACTATATACAAATTCCTAAATATTTGGGGATCTTATTATCTCTTCTAACGGTTTTATTTTTCTAGCAATTTCAGACCATTTCATCTTGTTTTGATGGGAACCAACAAAGGGCAATTTACAACTTTTTTTTTCCTTTTTTTTGGCATTTGAGTAAAAAAATAACTGTAGGTCAAATCATAAGTAAAAATTGATAGGACAACTTTGACATTAAAACTGAGTTTCATTCGCTCGTGAGGCACTTCATTCCAGACAACATGTTACAAGTCCTTAGCCTGCAACTCCCTCATGCTCGTCTTCTTTACCCGATGACACTGATAACAACTAAATCGTGAAAAACCTAATTTCACACTACACATTTTACATGAAAATTATATATGTAGTTTGCAAAACAGTTATATGACATTCCACAACGATATATTGCATTCCATGACATTATGGAAATTTGGAAGTTAAAACATGTTATGCATTTAAAATTTATATAAAACATCAACGTTAAATAGGCAAACAAACACCTTCAAGTTTGATTGTTTTTGGCCGTTTGAAATTACGAAAGAAAAGCATGTTCAAAACAGGGTTTGAAGATTCAATAAAAACAATTTTCAAAATTGCTTTTTGTTAGAAAATTAGAGTTCGAAAATCATAATGAAGCTCGAGCACGTCTTTTTTTGAAAAGTATTATAAGTTGATAAGTTTAAATAAAGATATTTTTTAGAAAATTAGTTAAAAAGGCTCGTGCCTTGTAATCACTCATGTGTCCCTGACCCTGGTTACGTATTTTCTTGACTTTAGGCCCATGATCAGTTATAAGATTTACGATTAAGCTTGGGACAGGTTGAACATTCCGATTAGGCTTGTTTTTTTGCTAAACTTTATCATTATGGAACGAAGTAAACCAAACAATAAAATGAATCACCTAAAAGATCAAAGTGAAAGAAATTTGCATTTTAGTTAGCTAAGTTTACAAAGTTCTTGTCTTTGTAAGTTCCAGTTGTAAAGCTATGTGAAAAAGGAACTTACAATGAATGTTAGCAATGAATTTAGTTGATAAGTAATGCACATCCGGTTATTTGTTTTTAACAAAAATCGTATTTCATTAATGGTAAAAATTAGAACACCAGATGATATACATAATTATGTATTTGAGAAAATATAATGCATGTTAGTATATAAGTATTTGAATTTTCAGTATCTGGAATTTTTTAATATTTATGACAAAAAAAATAACTTAGAATTTAGAAAGAGAAGACATACGTCAGGCAGAAATAGGAGCATTATTTAACAATATTTTATAATATAAAACAGCAACCGGGCATTTGGTCTAGTGGTATGATTCTCGCTTCGGGTGCGAGAGGTCCCGAGTTCGATTCTCGGAATGCCCCATTTTTCAGTTTTTTAATTTTGGTTGTATAATTATCATCTTTCTTCAAAAATTACTTTTATACCTTACCTTCCGTTTTAAGATCAAGGTAAATCGAAATAAACTGATTAGTTTGTAATTTTTGCTGAATAAAAAAACTGATTAGTTTGTAATTTTTGCTGAATAAAAGAAAACTGAATTACTCTTGATATTATGACTTTATGAGTGTAGATATATAGTAATTTATTCTTATTCATGATAAGGTTTTATCTTCCTAATTACGAGATTTTGTGTAATTTTGAAATACATCTTGATACACGACACTCATTAAAAGGGTTCAGTTGAAATTAATGAGCCTTGAAATGTGTTCATCTTTTGCAATAAAAAGGATGGCTTATTGCTTTTGCTTGCATTTTAAAAAGAAAAGGTAGACTGAAAATTCAGAAGGGTAAATAAATGTGGGAAATAGCAATACAATTCGAAATGTAAATACCATAATATATCCCGTAATTGTTGATGTGTTATTGTTTACCATGTTAATGTAGTTTAAATTCAAAAGAAATGAAACATGCTTGTTGATTTGTGTTTCCATTTCGAAAAGAAAAGTAGCTAGTAAATATATTTCAACCTTTAAACTACTACTAGTGTTCTACATCAGATATTTAGATATAAAACAAAAGCACCAGTGGTCTAGTGGTAGAATAGTACCCTGCCACGGTACAGACCCGGGTTCGATTCCCGGATGGTGCATCTTTATTGAGCGATGATGTTTCATTTCTTTTGGTGGAGGGGTCCATCAATCTTGTCTGATCTTCAAGTGAAGACATTAATAGGCCTTACTGAGCTCTTTATATTTTTTAGCTGGAATGAGAAGTATAGAACATAAACATATTTGGTACTTTCTATACAAAGATGAACTTATTACACCCATTTAATACCAAAAAGATCCCTTAAGAAACTATCATGTGGCCAACTTCCTTAAATTGTTATCTATTGATCACATTTTACTTTTGGGCTACATATCCCTTTGAGTACTTTCTTAGCGGTGAAGCACGATTAAAAAAAAATCTTGCATTTTGTATAATTCAAGTTTAACAAAGTCGTTAGTATACACTACACTACCACTATGGACGAGTATATATATTTAGATTTGTATCAATGAAAATTGTTTTTATGATAGTTACATACTTCAACCAAACGAAATTGTTTTTATGATAGTTACATACTTCAACCAAGTATTACAAGTGTTTTGGGGTGCGCTTCTAGGTGTGTGTAGGATCTATGAAGATGATGAAAAGATTGTATTCTTATGAGTCATAGTGAGAGATTGGGGATTGCGTATGGGATCAGAGCCGGACCTGAGGAATCAAATATCATCAAAGGCCCTGGACGAATCAGAAAAACTGGCTCCTTATGGCTATTATAAGTTTTTATTTTTAAACAAAAATATATAATAAAAAAGTTGGACCCTATACAGCTGCCCACTTTGCCCCCCTCAACGCCCCCTATGTATGAGATTATTAGGGATTCTGCTTGGTTTCATAAGTTTAAGGATGATGTATTTTCTTTGTGGTGATTATTTGTAATTTCGATGTGGATTGAGTTTCTTGTGCTATTGGGGTGTTATGCCAGTCACCAAGTGGAGACATTGAAGATCATAATTAGTACTTGTTACTTAAAGTTGATATCATAAGGTGTATAACATTAAAGATTGGTCGTAAAGATTGTTAACTTGTTATGATTAATTTTATTTTTGGTTAAAAAAACTGTACATAATTCAATTCTTTGCTAGATGTTTTTTGAGATAAGTCAAGTTGTAGTATTATTCTATGAACGGAATATGTGTTGATTATTTATATTTCAAATTTGTATTGAAAGTAATTAGATAAGGTGAAATGTCAAAGAAGAGTAAAATGAAAACATAAACTCATTGTTAAACTATTTAGGAGTAAATTACAGCTTCCATTTATATGGCAAAGGTTATGATTTTCGTCCTCGAATTTATATTGATACCAACTAGCATTTCATCTGAGCTATGATGAAAAATGCCTGGTGGAGGGTCCATCAACCTATCTGATCTTTAAGTGAAGATATTCGAGGCCTTACTGAGATTATTTTTTTTTTTTTTTTTTTTTTTCGTTCTTCCATTTCTGGGTCCTTCATGTGTTTCATTCACCTATAAAAAATATGAAAAAAAAATCATCATTAGAATTTTGTAACTGTGAAGAAATCTCTAAAATAAAATTAACTAGTGTTTGAATTTATTTACATCTTAAACCTTCTGCAGCCAAAGATCATCAAGTATCGTGAAACATTTGATATTTCATCAAAAACATGTGTATGGGGGCTAATTAAAAAGAAATAACAAAATTCATTAACCAAGTCCTAGTTCTTAGTTACAATAGAAACACAATTAACTTATTAATTAGATGTATATATATTATCTTTTCGCAAACCTCACATTCTCGACAAGGCTACACGGATGTGTGGGCCATCCCTTAAACTTCACTAGACCTTTAAGGCTTAAGGCAAA